TAGAGTCTCAGTGTAATTTTGTCTGCTAGCTGGTGTTAAGTGAACGTATCTAGATAAGGTAGAGTCTCAGTGTAATTTTGTCTGCTAGCTGGTGTTAAGTGAACGTATCTAGATAAGGTAGAGTCTCAGTGTAATTTTGTCTCCTAGCTGGTGTTAAGTGAACGTATCTAGTTAAGGTAGAGTCTCAGTGTAATTTTGTCTGCTAGCTGGTGTTAAGTGAACGTATCTAGATAAGGTAGAGTCTCAGTGTAATTTTGTTTGAGTTTACGTCATCATCTTAAGATAGAAACAATATTCAACGTATGATTTCTTGAGAATTTGAGCCAAGAATTTCCTTTAAGGTTAGATGAATTTACTGCCTTTCTGTACCCCAATACCGTGACGTAACACAGAGAGATACTAGTAACATAACATAGCCACCAGAGAGATAATTACATAACATACTATAGAGATAATAATTACATAACACACCAGAGATACTAATAGCACATAAATATATCACATAATAACAGTTAACCAATAATACCTATAAATAACTTACTAATCTCTAAGTTATATTTCCATAAAAAGAAATTCACTTTAAATTTAAGTCAAAATATAATAACCAAGTTTTCCACAATTATTTTCACTAATCCAATTCTAGTTAATTATTTTCGCTAATTCACTTCATCTAATTAATCCTTCAAAAAAGATAAATTATTTCATCATGAATTTGAAATACCTAAAAAAATAATTTGAAGTGATAAAGAATAAAAAAAAATAGTTGGATAATGTAATGGTATAATCACATCACAGGCAGATTCAGTAGTGTGGCTCAGGGATTGTAAATTCACGCACTGGGGGGAAGTATTTGTAAAAGGGATTCACACACTCACCACTTGAGCGCACTGGTCGGCTTTGGAAATGGTCAGGAGGAAAAGAGTGATTTATGCTTTAATAATACCAAATGTTCAATCGAATGGCTATTGCATCTACACCTTTTTTTTTAATGGCGTTAATAGAAGGCATTAAGGAAGCGGTACACGGTGCTCTCAGGTGCTGTGAGGGACCAGAACATTCCTGAACTAGTGTTGATTATTGTGTTTGTTTATTCACGCATGCTGTTGTATAGTTTAAAAATATTGAAGGGATTAATAATATACGTAGAAGTCATCGGAAAACAATGCTCGAATTTCAAATGGATTTATGTAAAATTATGGGTATTCTTTCTCGATGACCCCCCCAGGTTGTGTCATATTGCGTCACACCAAATCTTAACAGATACTTTGTGGAGAGAGTTTATATTATCCGTGTAAAGAAAGCAACACCTTTTGAGAGACAGGCGTAGAAGAACTAGTATAAAACAATATAAGATATAGTCATTATCCTTATGGTTATAGCCAATTTTATATCCTATTCGTGCCTGTCACTTTATGAGTCTCTATCATGGTAAATTACTGTCAACATTAACATAAGTCTTTCTTCAATCATTACTTTAATCCATACATGAATAATAATAAAAGTGCTTGAATCTCTTCGTGTTTTTGTCTCCCAGCGATTATTTGGCCATAGTCTTTTTTTTTTACCGAATTTGATAAAAGACTTGTGTTCAAAACCTGAAAATTCGAGTAAATTGTGATATTAATTAATGACTCTTGATATAATTAGAGTCATTGTAGTTTCGCTAATTAACAGATTTGTGATTGTTGTGTATGCCTGCTTAATGGATTTTTTAATTAGGAGATAATTCTGGAAATAGACGGGTCCTTACCTTGACTTTTCCACTACAGATAAAAGTTTAACTGGTGAAAATAAAACACTTGACAGTAATTCCCTACACAGGTGTTTTGTGTCTCATTTATCACAGTAAACTATATTTATTTGGGTGAGTTTCACTAATTTACGTTTCGGTAATGTTTGCGTTGATCTTTCGTCATAACCTCTGACACCACCGCTTCTCACCACATCTGCTGACACTACCGATTCTCACTATTCCTGCTGTCACCACACCTGCTGACACCACCGCTTTTCACCACACCTGCTGACACCATCGCCGCTCACCATACCTGCTACCACCACCGCTTCTCACCACACCTACTGATACCACAGCTTCTCACCACACCTGCTAACACTACTGCTTTTCACCATACCTGCTGACAACACCGCTTTTCACCATACCTGCTGACACCATCGCTTCTCACCACATACAGTTTGTGTGTGTAATAATAATTGGTTTATTAATAGAGTTGCAGCCGGTGTGTGTGTGTGTGTGTGTGTGTGTGTGTGTGTGTGTGTGTGTTTTATTTGGTATAGTAAGATAAATCTCAAATCATTCAATGAAAATCAAATCCCCTGCAACATATATCATTACACTTTAAGAATAAATTACAACTCTTAAAACTGAAACCATCACCACTCAACACTATATAATTTACTGTACAACTTAATAAAACATTTTCATTAAATTAATTTAATTGTTTGTTTTGACCAAATTAAACACCTGTAATTATATAAGGGTTTAACAGCGTGGTTCAAAGACCTAGTTAAGAAGAATATTAAGTAATGAAGTCTTTAATAACGTTAATTAGTACTTATATAACTTATTTATGCCATAATTGTTTCCCCCCAAATGAAACATATGAATATCAACATGTATATAATAAAATTCATAATATTTCCTCTCGGCGTGGACTCAGACCAAACACTTTTCAATCCTAACTTTCATTACACATTAATACGAACAGAAATTGGATACGGCTGCAACCTTCACCAGCAACGGTTCAGGCATCATATATCTATTTTTCTAGTGAATATAAATCTGTCATGAAAAAATAATAAATGTATATATATCTCTGTGTATAATTTGTCCCGTGTCGAGGGTCTTGTTCAGGGCGAGTACAGCTGATGCCAGATATGTGTGGAGTTTAAAAATATGGACGAGTTTGGAAATTGGTGAAAAGAAAAGAAATTTATTAGTTATTATTATTATTTTTGTTATTATTGTTATTATTGTTGTTATTATTATTGTTGTTTTGTTATTATTATTATTTCTGAGCTGAAAAAATGATAATTTATTGCATGAGAGAGAGAGAGAGAGAGAGAGAGAGAGAGAGAGAGAGAGAGAGAGAGAGAGAGAGAGACTTTACCAACCTGCAGCCTCGGATGGCGCGTCAGGTTGGGAAGCCAGAATGAAGAAGATGGAATGGAGAAAGGAAGTAGAAGCATGAGATAAGAGGAAGGGGAGAGAGAGAGAGAGAGAGAGAGAGAGAGAGAGAGAGAGAGAGAGAGAGAGAGAGAGGGGAGGATGTGGTGTGAGGAAGACAGCTGGGGACGTGACCGGAACACTTCAGGCACGTCATATATCATCGGGGGAGGGACTACTGGCAGGGGACTACTGGCAGGGGGACTGCCTGGCAGGGGACTACTGGCAGGGGGACTACTGGCAGGGGGACTCCTGGCAGGGGGACTCCTGGCAGGGGGACTCCCTGGCGGGGAGCCTGGCAGGGGGGGCTACTGGCAGGGGGACCACGCGGGGGGACTACTGGCAGGGGGGACTACTGGCAGGGGGACTACTGGCGGGGGGACTACTGGCAGGGGACTACTGGCGGGGGACTACTGGCAGGGGGACCACTGGCAGGGGCTACTGGCAGGGGGGACTACTGGCGGGGCACTACTGGCAGGGAGACTACTGGCAGGGGACTACTAGCAGGGGGGCTACTGGCAGGGGAAGACTGGCAGGGGACTACTGGCAGGAGGACTACTGGCAGGGGACTACTGGCGGGGACTACTGGCAGGGGGGACTACTGGCAGGGGATACTGGCAGGAGACTGGCAGGGGGACTACTGGCAGAGGGGACTACTGGCAGGGAGGGACTACTGGCAGGGGGGACTACTGGCAGGAAGGAACTACTGGCAGGGAGGGCTTACTGGCAGGGGACTACTGACAGGGGGACTACTGGCAGGGGGACTACTGGCAGGGGACTACTGGCAGGGGACTACTGGCAGGGGGACTCTGGCAGGGGCTACTGGCAGGGGCTACTGGCAGGGGAGCTACTGGCAGGGGGGCTACTGGCAGGGAAGGACTACTGGCGGGAGGACTACTGGCAGGGAGGACTACTGGCAGGGGACGACTGGCAGGGGCTACGGCAGGGGGACTACTGGCAGGAAGGGACTACTGGCAGGGGCGACTACTGGCAGAGGAACTACTGGCAGAGGAACTGTGGCGGGGGGACTACTGGCAGGGGATTACTGGCAGGGGCGACTACTGGCAGGGGGTGACTACTGGCAGGGGTGACTACTGGCAGGGGGACTACTGGCAAGGTAGACCACTGGCAGGGAACTACAGGGGGCAACTACTGGCAATGGGTGGACTACTGGCGGGGGGCGACTACTGGCAGGGGGTGACTACTGGCAGGGGGTGACTACTGGCAGGGGGGACTACTGGCAGGGTAGACTACTGGCAGGGGGACTACACTAGGGGGCAACTACTGGCAATGGGGACTACTGGCAGGGGGGACTACCTGGCAGGGGGACTACTGGCAGGGGGACTACTGGCAGGGGACTACTGGCAGGGCTGACTACTGGCGGGGGGCTACTGGAAGGGGGACTACTGGCAGGGGGTGACTACTGGCATGGGGACTACTAGCAGGGGGGACTACTGGCAATGGGGGGACTACTGGCAGGGGACTACTAGCAGGGGCGACTACTGGCAGCTGACTACTGGCAGGGGGACTACTGGCAAGGGGGGACTACTGGCAAGGGGACTACTGGAGGGACTACTAGCAGGGGCGAGGCTACTAGCAGGGGCGACTACTGGCAGGGGCGGCGACTAGCAGGGGCGAGGTACTGGCAGGGGGTGACTACTGGCAGGGGAGACTACTGGCGGAGGTGTGGACGACTACTGGCGGGGATGGGGGACTACTGGCAGGGAGGACTACTGGCAGGGGGACTACTGGCAGGGGGACTACTGGCAGGGGGACTACTGGTAGGGGACTACTGGCGGGAGGCGACTACTGGCAGGGGATGGGAACTACTGGCAAGGGGAGGACTACTGGCGGGGGACTGCTGGTAGGGGGACTACTGGCGGGGGGACGACTACTGGCAGGGGATGGGGACTACTGGCAGGGAGGACTACTGGCAGGGGACTACTGGCAAGGGGACTGGCAGGGGACTACTGGCAAGGGGGACTACATGGCAGTGGGGGGACTACTGAGGATGGGGAACTACTGGCAGGGGATGGGGAACTACTGGCAGGGGATGGGGACTACTGGTGGGGATGGGGGACTACTGGCAGGGATGGGGACTACTGGCAGGGGATGGGGGACTACTGGCATGGAGGGACTACTGGCAGGGATGGGGTCTACTGGCGGGGATGGGGGACTACGGCATGGGGGGGACTACTGGCAGGGGCGACTACTGGCAGTGGGGGACTACGCGGGGATTGGGGGACTACTGGCAGGGGATGGGGACTACAGGCATGGGGGACTACTGGCACGGGGACGACTGGTAGGGACGACTACTGGCATGGGATGGGGACTACTGGCAGGGGAACTGGCAGGGGATGGGGGACTGGGGATGGGGGACTACTGGCAGGGATGGGGAACTATTGGCAGGGGATGGGAACTATTGGCAGGGGATGGGGACCTGGCAGGGTAGGGAACTACTGGCAGGGGATGGGGAACTACTGGCAGGGGATGGGGAGGGACTACTGGTAGGGGATGGGGACTACTGGCAGGGGATGGGGACTATTGGCATGGAGGGGGACTACTGGCAGGGGATGGGGCTACTGGCAGGGATGGGGACTACAGGCATGGGGGGACTACTGGCAGGGGCGAGCGCACTGGCAGTGGGGGGACTACTGGCAGGGGATGGGGACTACTGGCAGGGGATGGGGACTACAGGCATGGGGGACTACTGGCTGGGGACGGCTAGTAGGGACGACTACTGGCATGGGATGGGGACTACTGGCAGGGGAACTACTGGCGGGGATGGGGACTACTGGCGGGGATGGGGATACTGGCAGGGGATGGGGAACTACTGGCGGGGATGGGGAACCACTGGCAGGGGATGGGGGACTACTGGCGGGGATGGGGAACTACTGGCGGGGGATGGGGACTACTGGTGGGGATGGGGACTACTGGCATGGAGGGACTACTGGCAGGGGATGGGAGTCTGTGGCAGGGGATGGGGACTACAGGCTAGGGGGGACTACTGGCAGGGGCGACTACGAGTGGGGGGGACTACTGGCAGGGGATTGGGGACTACTGGCGGGGATGGGGACACTAGGGCATGGGAGGGACTACTGGCGGGGGCGACTACTGGCAGGGGATGGGGACTACTGGCAGGGGATGGGGGACTACAGGCATAGGGGTAGACTACGCGTATTTCACCCAAATATGATTTTCTCTCAGACTTACAATTTAGTGAGGATTAACTGCAATAATACAATTGTTGTTGTATTTCAAGGACACAAAGATAAAAATACCAGGAGGGAAAAATATATACCTGGAGTGTGTTGGGAGGTAAGAGACATTGTTGACAAGATATCAGGGAGCCGACACACCACCCCCAGGTATTGTTGTTGTTCGTCTACCTGGTGGTGGGAGAGAGAGAGAGAGAGAGAGAGAGAGAGAGAGAGAGAGAGAGAGAGAGAGAGAGAGAGAGAGAGAGAGAGAGAGAGAGAGAGAGAGAGAGAGAGAGAGCATGTTTAGTGACCTCCTTTCCACACACCCATATAATTCTCTTAATTTCCCTTCGTTTTAAAACAACATTACTTAGAAAAATATATTATAGCAGGAAACTGTAAGGACACAATCAGGGTAAGAAGGGCTTTAGTATAGTTTAGGAAGTGTAGCAACAAGATGAATCCAGGGCGAAACAATATTCATATTATATCGTTAGTTAAATTTTGTGAACGAATCTTTTGCGGATTTTATGGTTTTGTTTTTTTTTTTATAAAGAATTGATTTACTGGGATTTATTCTTCATCCGGTTACCGTAACAATGTCATCTCTCTCTCTCTCTCTCTCTCTCTCTCTCTCTCTCTTTACCCTACCCTTCTCATTTCTCTCACCCACTTTCTCTCTCCATCTCTCCATCTATCCATCCATCTATATTTCACTTTATTTTATTGTTTAAGCTTTGTTAAGTCTTATTGAGTAAAATAATTTCCAAGTTTCTCAAAAAGGCCTAATGATTCTTATGAGTTTATTTTACTCACCAATTATTGAAGCCTGATTGATTCTATGTTACAATTCTCCCAAAGATTTATTGAGTCTTATAATTCCCACCTGTAGGCGGCAGTTAGATTTTGCCCGAATTGTGGAATAAATTCTCTTTTAGATTCAAGTAATTCTATTTTTATCAAACTAAATTCAATCCACTCACAAGCTGATGTATTTTACCTGTTGTTATTATTCCTTGGGTCCAGTTGGTGGGGTGATGGATAGTAGGGTGGGTTTGTTTGTCTGTTGAAGGACTGGGAAGGAGGGAGAGAGACTGAGAAGGAAGGAGAGAGACTGAGGAGGATGTAGAGAGACACTGGGAAGGAAGGAGAGACTGAGAAGGATGGAGAGACTGAGAAAGGAGGAAGACACTGAAGGAAGGAGAGAGAGACACTGAGAAGGAAGGAGAGACACTGGGGAGGAAGGGGAGACTGAGGGAGGATGGAGAGAGACTGAGAAGGAAGGAGAGACTGAGAAGGAAGGAAGAACTGGGAGGAAGGAGAGACTGAGAAGGAGGAGAGACACTGAGGAAGGAAGGAGAGAGACTGAGGAGGAAGGGAGGAACTGAGAAAGGATGGAGAGAGAATGGGAGGAGGAAGAGAGCCACTGGGGAGAGGGAAGAAGGAGAATGGGGAGGAGGAGGAGCCACTGGGGAGGAAGGAGAGAATGGGGAGGAAGGAGAACTAGGGAGGAAAGAGACTGGGGAGGAAGGAGAGAGACTGAGGGAGGATGGAGAGACTGGGGAGGAAGAGGAGAGACTGGGGAGGAAGGGGAGAGACTGGGGAGGAGGGAAGGAGAGAGTCTGGGGAGGAAGGAGAATCACTGGGGAGGAAGGAGAGAGCAGGGGGAGGAAGGGAGAGAGACTGGGGAGGAAGGAGAGAGACTGGGGAGGAAGGAGAACTGGGGAGGAGGAGAGAGACTGGGGAGGAAGAAGAGAGGTGGGGAGGAAGGAGAGAGACTGGGGAGGAAGGGAAGACTGAGGAGGATGGAGAGAGAAGAATGGGGGAGGAAGGAGAGAGACTGGGGAGGAAGGAGAGAGACTGGGAGGAAGAAGAGATTAGGGAGGAAGGAGAGAGACTGGGGAGGAAGGAGAGAATGGGGAGGAAGGAGAAAGATTGGGGAGGAAGAAGAGAGACTGGGGAGGAAGGAGAGGGAAGAGGGAGGAAGGAGAGACTGGGGAGGAAGGGAGAGACTGGGGAGGAAGGAGAGAGAGCTGGGGAGGAGGAAGGAGAGAACTGGGGAGGAAGGAGAGAGACTGGGGAGGAAGAAGAGGTGGGGAGGAAGGAGGGACTGGGAGGAAGGAAAGAACTAGGGAGGAAGGAGAGAGAATGGGGAGGAAGGAGAGAGACTGGGGAGGAAGGAGAGACTGGGGAGGAAGGAGAGAGAGAGAGGAATGGGGAGGAAGGAGAGAACTGGGGAGGAAGAGAGACTGGGGAGGAAGAGGAGAGAGACTGGGGAGGAAGGAAGAGACTGGGGAGGAAGAAAGAGATTGGGGAGGAAGAAGGAGAGAGGACTGGGGAGGAGGGAGAGAATGGGGAGAAGGAGAGAGGACTGGGGAGGAAGGAGAGAACTGAGGGAGGAAGGAGAGAGCTGGGGAGGAAGGAGAGAGACTGGGAGGAAGAAGGGAGAGAGACTGGGGAGGAAGGAGAGAGACTGGGGAGGAAGAGAGGAGACTGGGGAGGAAGGAGGAGCTGGGAGGAAGGAGAGAGACTGGGAGGAGAGAAGAGATGGGGAGGAAGGAGAGAGACTGAGGAGGGAGGAGAGAATGGGGAGGAAGAAGAGAGACTGGGGAGGGATGGAGAGACTGGGAGGAAGGAGAGAGACTGAGGAGGAAGGAGAGACTGGGGAGGAAGGAGAGAGACTGGGGAGGAAGGAGAGAGACTGGGAGGAAAGAAGAGATTGGGAGGAAGGGAGAGGAGCTGGGGAGGAAGAAAGAAGTGGGGAGGAAGGAGAACTGGGGAGGAAGAGAAGGGTGGGGAGGAAGGAGAGAGAGACAGGGGGAGGAAGGAGAGACTGGGGAGGAAGGAGAGAGCTGGGGAGGAAGGAGAGACTGGGGAGAAGGAGAAGACTGGGGAGGAAGGAGAGAACTGGGGAGGAAGGAGAAGAGAGAAGGAGAGAATGGGGAGGAAGAGAGAGACTGGGGAGGAAGGAGAGACTGGGGAGGAGGAGAGAGACTGAGAAGGAGGATGGAGAGAGATGGGGGGAGGAAGAGACACTGGGAGGGAATGAGAGAGACTGAGGGAGGATGGAGAGAGAGACTGGGGAGGAAGAGAGAGACTGGGGAGGAAGGAGAGAGCTGGGGAGGAAGAAGAGACTGGGGAGGAAGGAGAGAGAGACTGGGGAGGAGGAAGAGAGCTGGGGAGGAAGGAGAGAACTGGGGAGGGAAGGAGAGCTGGGGAGGAGGAAGAGACTGGGGAGGAAGGAGAGAGCTGGGGAGGAGGAAGAGGAGACTGGGGAGGAGGAAGAGAGACTGGGAGGAGGAAGAGACTGGGGAGGAGGAAGAGACTGGGGAGGAGGAGAAGGACTGGGAGGAGGAGAAGAGAGCTGGGGAGGAGGAAGAGGGAGCTAGGAGGAGGAAGAAGGAGCTGGGGAGGGAGGAAGAGAGACTGGGGAGGAGGAAGAGGACTGGGGAGGAGGAAGAGAGACTGGGGAGGAGGAAGAGAGCTGGGGAGGAAGGAGACTGGGAGAGGAGAGAGACTGGGAGGAGAGACTGGGGAGGAGGAAGAGCCTGGGGAGGAAGGAGAGAACTGGGGAAAGGAAGAGACTGGGGAGGAGAAAAAGACACTGGGGAGGAGGAAGAGACTGGGGAGGAGGAAGAGAGCTGGGGAGGAAGGAGAGAGACAGGGTAGGAGGAAGAAGAGCTGGGGAGGAAGGGAGAGAGAAGATGGGAGGAAGAAGAGACTGGGGAGGAAGGGAGAGAGACTGGGGAGGAGGGAAAGAGACTGGGGAGGAAGGAAGAGACTGGGAGGAGGGAGAGGGAGCTGGGGAGGGAGGAGAGAGACTGGGAGGAAGGAGAGAGACTGGGGAGGAAGGGAGAGAGACTGGGGAGGAGAAGAGACTGGGGATGAGGAGAGTGACTGGGGAGGAAGAGAGACAAGGAGAGTATTGAAGGCAGAGATGGAGAGAAAATAGTGCGGAGAAGAGGAAGAGGAGGAGATTATAAGAGAAGATGGATAAACACAATGAAAGAGAAGAGAAGAATAAAGATGGACAGAGGAAGATTAGGTACTTCTTTATCCATCCTATAAGGTACTCCCCCCATCCTGCTGCCGTGAAGAAGATTAGGTCCCATTTCTTTATCCATCCTACACAGTACCAGGACCCCCTTATCCATCCTACACAGTACCAGGATCCCTTATCCATCCTACACAGTACCAGGACCCCTTATCCATCCTACACAGTACCAGGATCCCTTATCCATCCTACACAGTACCAGGACCCTTATCCATCCTACACAGTTCCAGGACCCATCCATCCTACACAGTACCAGGACCTCCTTATCCATCCCTACACAGTACCAGGATCCCTTATCCATCCTACACAGTACCAGGATCCCTTATCCATCCTACACAGTACCAGGACCCCTTATCCATCCTACACAGTACCAGGACCCCTTATCCATCCTACACAGTACCAGGACCCCTTATCCATCCTACACACAGTACCAGGACCCCCTTATCCATCCTACACAGTACAGGACCTTATCCATCCTACACAGCACCAGGATCCCTTATCCATCCTACACAGTTCCAGGACCCCTTATCCATCCTACACAGTTCCAGGACCCCTTATCCATCCCACACAGTTCCAGGACCCTTTATCCATCCCTACACAGCACCTCCTTATCCATCCCACACAGTACCAGGACCCCTTATCCATCCCTACACAGCACCTCCTTATCCATCTACACAGTACCAGGACCCCTTATCCATCCTACACAGTACCAGGACCCCCATCCATCCTGCAGGACCTCCTTATCCATCCTACACAGTACCAGGACCCCCTTATCCATCACACAGTTCAGGACCCCTTATCCATCCTACACAGCACCTCCTATCCATCCTACACAGTACCAGGACCCCTTTATCCATCCTACAGTACCTCCCTTATCCATCCTACACAGTACCAGGACCCCCTTATCCATCCTACACAGTACCAGGACCCCCTTATCCATCCTACACAGTACCAGGACCCCTTATCATCCTACACAGTACCAGGACCCCTTATCCATCTACACAGTACCAGGATCCCCTTATCCATCTACACAGTTCAGGACCCCTTATCCATCCTACACAGTTCCAGGACCCCTTATCCATCCTACACAGTTCCAGGACCCCTTATCCATCCTACACAGTAGGACCCCATCCATCCTCACACAGCACCTCCTTATCCATCCCACACAGTACCAGGACCCCTTTATCCACCCACACAGTACCAGGACCCCTTATCCATCCTACACAGTACCAGGACCCCTTATCCATCCTACACAGTACCAGGACCCCCTATCCATCCTACACAGCACCAGGATCCCCTTATCCATCCTACGTTCAGGACCCCTTATCCATCCTACACAGTTCAGGACCCCTTATCCATCCTACACAGTTCCAGGACCCCTTATCCATCCTACACAGCACCTCCTTATCCATCCTACACAGTACCAGGACCCCTTATCCATCCTACACAGTACCAGGACCCCTTATCCATCCTACACAGTTCCAGGACCCCCTTATCCATCCTCACACAGCACCAGGACCTCCTTTTCCATCCCACACAGTTCGGACCCCTTATCCATCCTACACAGTACCAGGACCCTTTATCCATCCTACACAGTACCAGGATTATATCCACCTAAAAGTACAGGACCCCTTATCCATCCTACAGTACCAGGACCCCTTATCCATCCTACACAGTACCAGGACCCCCTTATCCATCCTACACAGTACCAGGACCCTTTATCCATCCTACACAGTACCAGGACCCCTTATCCATCCTACACACCTCCTTATCCATCTACAGTACAGGACCCCTTATCCATCCTACACAGTACCAGGACCTCCTTATCCATCCTACACAATGAACCCCTTATCCATCCTACACAGCACCAGGACCCCTCATTCATCCCTACAGTCACCAGGACCCCTTATCCATCCTACAGTACGAGACCCCCTTATCCATCCTACACAGTTCCAGGACCCCCTTATCCATCCTACACAGTACCAGGACCCCATCCATCCTACACAGTTCCAGGACCCCATCCATCCTACACTACCAGGACCTCCTTATCCATCTACACAGTTCCAGGACCCCCTTATCCATCCTACACAGCATACCAGGATCCCTTATCCATCCTACACAGTTCCAGGACCCCTTATCCATCCTACACAGTACCAGGACCTCCTTATCCATCCTACACAGTTCCAGGACCCCTTATCCATCCTACACAGTTCCAGGACCCCTTATCCATCCTACACAGTACCAGGATCCCCTTACTCTCCTACACAGTACAGGACCCCTTATCCATCCTACACAGTACCAGGACCCCCTTATCCATCCTACACAGTTCAGGACCCCTTATCCATCCTACACAGTACCAGGACCCCTTATCCATCCTACACAGTTCAGGACCCCTTATCCATCCTACACGCAGTACCAGGACCTCCTTATCCATCCTACACAGTTCAGGACCCTTATCCATCCTACACAGTTCCAGGACCTTATCCATCTACAGTACCAGGACCTCCTCATTCCTACACAGTACCAGGACCCCTTATCCATCCTACACAGTTCAGGACCCCCTTATCCATCCTACACAGTTCCAGGACCCCTTATCCATCCAACACAGCACCAGGATCCCCTCCATCCTACACAGTTCAGGACATCCATCCTACACACAGTTCCAGGACCCCTTATCCATCCTACACAGTTCAGGACCCCTTATCCATCTACACAGTACCAGGACCTCTTATCCATCCACACAGCACCAGAACCTCCTTATCCATCCTACACACAGTGCAGGACCCCTTTATCCATCCTACACAGCACCTCCTCCATCTACACAGTACCAGGACCCCTTATCCATCCCACACAGCACCAGAACCTCCTTATCCATCCTACACAGCACCAGGACCCCTTATCCATCCTACACAGCACCAGGATCCCCTTATCCATCCTACACAGTTCCAGGACCCCTTATCCATCCCTACACAGTTCCAGGACCCCTTATCCATCCTACACACACAGTACCAGGACCCCTTATCCATCCCACAACAGTACCAGGACCTTTTATCCATCTACACAGTACCAGGACCTCCTTATCCATCCTACACAGTACCAGGACCCCTTATCTACGTACCAGGACCCATCATCCTACACATGCGGACCTCTTTTTATCCATCCTACACACACAGTACCAGGACCTCCTTATCCATCCTACACAGTTCAGGACCCCTTATCCATCCTACACAGTACCAGGACCTTTATCCATCCCACACAGTCCAGGACCTCCTTATCCATCTTACACACAGTACCAGGACCCCTTATCCATCCTACACAGTACCAGGACCCCTTATCCATCCTACACAGTCCAGGACCCACCATCCTATACAGTACGGACCTCCTCATCTTACAGTACCAGGACCTCCTTATCCATCCCACAGTACCAGGACCCCTTATCCATCCTACACAGTACCAGGACCTCCTTATCCATCCTACACAGTACCAGGACCTCTTATCCATCTTACACAGTACCAGGACCTCTTTATCCATCTTACAGTACCAGGACCCCTTATCCATCTGGCTGAGTACCCTCATTCTCCATTTTGTATAACATCAGGTATCCTCTTCCCCATCCACCTTGGCGTACATCCCTGGAGGACGGGAGGAGAGCTGCCACTGCCCACCTCCTTTACCCTAATATTAAAGTCCTAAGGGAAATTCCCCTGATGGATGGAACTTCCCCAAACACGTAAAATGTTTTCCATAACACACAGGCGGACGTTAAGGAGCTGCTGAGTATCTGGTAGAAGGTTCTACTCTCTCTCTCTCTCTCTCAGTTCAGGCATGCTAATGGAGTTCTTTGATCATCGTTGTCGGCTTCACCTTTATCCAACAGCCTTTATCTTCCTCTATATCTACGCACAGCTGTTCCAGTAAGATTACATTCATGTTTATCGACTTACAGGTGTTCTCAGGCCTCTACCGTCATGTATATCGACCTACAGGTGTTCTCAGGCCTCTAGCGTCATGTATATCGACCTACAGGTTCTCAGGCCTCTATCGTCATGTTTATCGACCTACAGGTGTTCTCAGGCCTCTAGCGTCATGTATATCGACCTACAGTGTTCTCAGGCCTCTAGCGTCATGTATATCAACCTACAGGTGTTCTCAGCCTCTATTCGTCATCAACCTAGGTGTTCTCAGGCCTCTAGCGTCATGTATATCGACCTACAGGTGTTCTCAGGCCTCCTGGCGTGTATATCGACCTACAGGTGTTCTCAGGCCTCTAGCGTCATGTATATCGACCTACAGGTGTTCTTCGGGCCTCTAGCGTCATGTATATCGACCTACAGGTGTTCTCAGGCCTCTAGCGTCATGTATATCGACCTACAGGTGCTCTCAGGCCTCTATCGTCATGTATATCGACCTGCAGGTTTTCTCAGGCCTCTAGCGTCATGTATATCGACCTACAGGTGCTCTCAGGCCTCTAGCGTCATGTATATCGACCTACAGGTGTTCTCAGGCCTCTAGCGTCATGTATATCGACCTACAGGTGTTCTCTCAGGCCTCTAGCGTCATGTATATCGACCTACAGGTGTTCTCCAGGCCTCTAGCGTCATGTATATCGACCTACAGGTATTCTCAGGCCTCTAGCGTCATGTATATCGACCTACAGGTCTCCAGGCCTCTAGCGTCATGTATATCGACCTACAGGTGTTCTCAGGCCTCTAGCGTCATGTTTATCAACCTACAGGTGCTCTCAGGCCTCTAGCGTCAGTATATCGACCTACAGGTGCTCTCGGGCCTCTAGCGTCATATATCGACAATTGTTCTCAGGCCTCTAGCGTCATGTATATCGACCTACAGGTGCTCTCGGCCTCTAGCGTCATGTATATCGACCTACAGGTGCTCTCAGGCCTCTAGCGTCATGTATATCGACCTACGTGTTCTCAGGCCTCTACGTATATCGACCTACAGGTGCTCTCAGGCCTCTAGCGTCATCTATATCACTACAGGTGCTCTCAGGCCTCTGTCATGTATATCGACCTACAGGTGCTCTCAGGCCTCTAGCGTCATCTATATCGACCTACAGGTGCTCTCAGGCCTCTAGCGTCGTATTATCGACCTACAGGTGCTCTCAGGCCTCTAGCGTCATGTTTATCGACCTACAGGTGTTCTCAGGCCTCTAGCGTCATGTATATCGACCTACAGGTGTTCTCTGGCCTCTACCGTCATGTATATCGACACAGGTGCTCTCAGGCCTCTAGCGTCATGTATAACACAGTGTTCTCAGCCTCTACTCATTATTATCGACCTACAGGTGTTCTCAGGCCTCTAGCGTCATGTTTTATCGACCCACAGGTGTTCTCAGGCCTCTACCGTCATGTATATCGACCTACAGGTGTTCTCAGGCCTCTACCGTCATGTATATCGACCTACAGGTGCTCTCAGGCCTCTAGCGTCATGTTTATCGACACAGGTGTTCTCAGTTCGTCGTAATATCGACCTACAGGTGTTCTCAGGCCTCTAGCGTCATGTATATCGACCTACAATTCAGCCTCTAGCGTGTGTATATCGACTACAGGTGTTCTCAGGCCTCTAGCGTCATGTATATCGACCTACAGGTGTTCTCAGGCCTCTATCGTCATGTATATCGACCTACAGGTGTTCTCAGGCCTCTATCGTCATGTATATCGACCTACAGGTGTTCTCAGGCCTCTAGCGTCATATATCGACCTACAGGTGTTCTCAGGCCTCTAGCGTCATGTATATCGACCTACAGGTGCTCTCAGGCCTCTAGCGTCATGTATATCGCCTACAGGTGTTCTCAGGGCTCTGTCATGTATATCGACCTACAGGTGTTCTCAGGCCTCTAGCGTCATGTATATCCGACCTACAGGTGCTCTCAGGCCTCTAGCGTCATGATATACCGGTGCTTGCTCTCCGTCATGTATATCGACCACAGGTGTTCTCAGGCCTCTAGCGTCATGTATATCGACCTACAGGTGCTCTCTCAGGCCTCTAGCGTCATGTGTATATCGACCTACAGGTGTTCTCAGGCCTCTAGCGTCATGTATATCGACCTACCACAGGTGCTCTCAGGCCTCTCGCGTCGTATATCTGAGTGCTCTCAGGCCTCTAGGCATGTTTATCGACACGGTGTTGCTCTAGCGTCATGTTCGGTTTCAGGCTAGCGATGCGTGTGGTCTTTGTATATCGACCTACAGGTGCTCTCAGGCCTCTAGCGTCATGTTTATCGACCTACAGGTGTTCTCAGGCCTCTAGCGTCATGTATATCGACCTACAGGTGTCTCTCAGGCCTCTAGCGTCATGTTGTATCGACCTACAGGTGCTCTCAGGCCTCGTCATGTATATCGACCTACAGGGCTCTCGGCCTCACTCATGTATATCGACCTTGCTAGTTGCCACAGGTGTTCTCAGGCCTCTAGCGTCATGTTTATCGACCTACAGTTATCTTCTTTATATCAGTTCTCCCCTTTTATCAGAGTTCACTGTTGTTCTGTTGTTATCGGCTCGCACCTTGACCTAAAAGCTCCAAATAATCGCGAGTCTTAACACTGAGCCTCCACTTAATTCTGACATTTCTTCCTGATGATGGTGTGAGAGGCTTAAATTCTCTCTTGGCCTAAGTCAAAAAATACTAAGAAACCATTAAGTATTTATACACTCGTCAATCTCAACGGTAGTAGGTTCTAGAATTTAGTTTGTGTGTAGAAAGGAACAACAATTCTCAAGAGATTTGTTAGTTTTCATGTGAGAATTTATTTTGCTTTTGTTGTTAAATTTCGTGGGAGTTTTTCTTGGTATTTTTTTCTCTTGTGATTTGTTTTTTGCTTTTGTTTACATGGGAGGTTATTCTCTCTCTCTCTCTCTCCTCCTCTCATTCTCACTGTCTTTCTATCGCTCCTTCATCCTTCACCACCTAACTCCTCCTCTCCTCACCACTCTTCACCCTCCTACCCACTCTTCACCCTCCTACCCCACTCCACCCTCCCTACCCACCTCCCACCCCTCCCTACCCACTCCTCACCCTGCCTACCCTCCACACCCTCCCTACCCACTCTTCACCTCCCTACCACTCCTCCCTCCTACCCACTCCTCTCATCCCCTCGCCTCACCCTCCTACACCCTCCTCACCTCCCCACTCCTCACCTCCTACCCACTCCTCACCCCCCTCCACCTCTTCACCCTCCCACCACTCTTCCCCTCCTACCCACTCTTCTCACCCTCCTACCCCACTCCTCCACCCACCCTACCCACTCCTCCCTACCCCTCTTCCTCTCCTACCCACTCCTCACCCTCCCTACCCTCCTCCACCACCTAACTCCTCACCCTCCCTACCCACTCCTCACCCTCCCTACCCACTCCTCACCCTCCCTACCCACTCTCCTCACCCTCCCTACCCACTCCTCACCCTCCCTACCCGCTCTACGGCCCCCTCGCCTTACCACTCTCACCCTTCACACTCAACCTATGCCTCATGTTATTACCATAAGAAATTTCCCCGCCTCCCAAACTTTCCCATATAAAGTTTCCCTAACACAGACCAGTAAACTCACACAACAAACCTTCCCTACACGAGTCTATCTGGGGAAGTTCTAAACACCTTTCCCCACACATGTTAACTTTCGTAAGATACATCTTTCTCTGAGCTGAAATTTCTCCCTAAACTTGATTGAGTACCTTCCAACTTTCTACAAACAGTTTCTTTTTCTCCCCGCCAAGCTGAAGGAGTGGTTCTTATGAAATATATTTTTTTCCCTAGCCCCCCTGAGGTTTTCCCTAGTAAGGTGATGAAGTCTTTAATAAATAAATAAATAAATAAATAAATCGTGTTTTAAATAATCCTGTTGGTTCCTTTTTTCTTAAATTTATGTAAATGTTTCTCCCCCCCCCTCCCTGCCCCCCTCCCCGCCCCACCCCTAAAAAAAGCCCCCATGCCTTAAGAACATTTAAAAAATAATCTCTTATCTTTTATAACAATTTCTTGTCATTTTCCTCCACCACGATCATAAAATATCTCATTATAACTAATTTATTTGCTCACTTTTATGCTTCCTACTGTCCTAAAATTTCAGAGCGAAAAATTTCCCCAAATACTTACCTACCTCTGACAATTTTTTCCCCACCAAACTGCGGAAGAATGTTAATAAAAGTTAATATCTTACAAATTCTCCCCAGTTCTCGTCCCTAAGGAAGGAAAAAAATAAAAAATAAATATATTCATATATGACAATTTCCTCAAGCTATAATAAGACATATAATTTTAACTCTCTCGTTATTTCTCTAAACAAGTTTCCAATAAAATAATATAAAATACCCTTCACAATTTTACATTATAGTTTTCTTAAGAGTTATTAACAGTAAACACTTTTTCATATCTATTTTTTATAGTATTTTCATTATATATCTTGTTATAGATATTTTTTAATAGTTGTTTTTTCCGTAGTCAATATTATAATCAACAAAACTCACCTAACCTAACCTAACCTAACTTAACCCTAACCTACCCTAACCTAACCTAACTTAACTTAACCCTAACCTACCCTAACCTAACCTAACTTAACCCTAACCTAACCTACCCTAACCTAACCTAACCTAACTTAACCCTAACCTAACCTAACCTAACCTAACTTAACCCTAACCTAACCTACCCTAACCTAACCTAACTTAACCCTAACCTAACCTAACCTAACCTAACTTAACCCTAACCTACCCTACCCTAACCTAACCTAACCTGGCGATGCTTCACAAGACGGAAATACAGTTACCTGGACGCTTAATTAATTTTTCTTTTAATACACAAACAAAGAAACGATATAAACAAACCTGGTATAAAGGAATAAAACAAACAAATAAACAATACCTGGGATACACAAACAAACAAACAAACAAACAAACAAACAAACAAAAACAAACAAAAAGAAACATGAGTATTATTTCAACTCACAAAACAGGACAACTAAATAATAATAATAAAATACATACATACATACATACA